GGAAATGGCACATTTAAACCATTATTGCCCTAACATGGGCTTGCCTTTTTTGGTGTTTTCTCCCTACCTCCTGCCCTAGCTGGTGTTTTGTGGATGTTTTTGTKATGGTGGTAAAAGTAAATAAAAATGCATTTAAGGGGTATCATGGTAAGCAGGTGTTTAGAAACAAAACAACAAAAAATAAAATAAAAGAATGTGGCCGCAGCTAAGGAGGTTTTCACATGTTGTTTAACTCCAGTAAAGTCTGATCCAGCATCTGATGCATACTAAGGTTTTCTTCTTTGGCATGAGCCACTTTCTCTGTGGTGGGATTAGAAAATTAAGTCATGAATAGCTGCGCTTTGGACACAGTGGTGCTTTGTACATTCAGGCAGGCAAACATCAATCACAAACACAGAATGAGATGATTAGAACTAGGCATGCTTTTAAGACATTACTCATTTCTAGACAAGGACCTAAGATGGGGAAGACATCTTTAACCCAAAGGAACCACAGGCACAGCAGAGTCTTAGTGTGGTCAGAGACACCAGCACCAATAATCCGCCCTGAGAATAAAATGCAGGGTGGGTTTGGTGAAGGTTCACCGATTGTATGCTGTGGGAACACAGAGAGGCAAAAACCAAATACAGCTTGTAGCATTATTATACAAACTGGAGAAGTTAATATCAGCAGATGCTTCTGAGTTACAGGCAGTTAAAGGTCTGGGAGACGTGTTATAACACGGCCTCACAGAAAACAAAGATGACATAATAGGTTTTGGRCAACTTTTAAAATGATTTATTTCTGTTGCTCATAAAGTTATCAACATGTTTCATGCACACTTCATTAGGACATTCTCTTAATATTTTATAGTATTCTATTTAGTAGTAGCAAGACATTCTCATCAGATTCCAACAACACTATTAAACTGAATAAAGCATACCTTTCAGACAACCAGGGACTTCTGATATAAGCTCCTGTTTTCAAAAGCTATTTTGCCCAAGCATAGGTACATTTAATTATATTTCAAACACTATACCATATATGAATAAGTTAGGAATACAAATATGTAATTATATATATACTTAAAGCAGGACTCACAGTTGTCTCTGTGAAATAGAAAACAAAAWTTTTTTGGTCCTCATTATTGAAAGATGAGGACCTGCTGTTGCAAAAAGAGTGCTGACTTGATTGTTATAAATATTTATCCACATATATAATATATGCATTTTATTTTACCATAAAAAATTGTTTTGGGATTAAAGAGAACTTAATTATTCCTGATACATAGAGGAAAAGACAGGCCAAGCCAGCGCCTTTCAGCCGATTCCTTTCATTTGCATTTCTGCAGAAGAAAGTACCGTTTTCCACCCTATTAGCTGAGGGTTGGACAGTCTTAGATTTCCTGCACATGGGCTCCATTCCTAGAATTCAGCCCAAGATTTTTTCACACTTTTTAATCCTCATTCAGGGCCAACTTTAGTTCATTAGTTAGGCGGCGGTTTTGCTCAAGTTGCTGGTAGAGCTGGTCTGTACAGGTCAGCAAGTAGGATAGCAGAAAAGAAGAGGCAGAAGAGAGGTTAGGCAGACTTGGTGAGAGACAGTTAATAGAGAACACAGAGATACCTCAGGCAGGACAGCAACTGGTCACTTGCTGAGCAGTCTACCCTTACCCCATTGTCATCTGTCCAGGTTGGTAAAAGGCCTGGCAGAAGGGTCAGAATTTCTCTCTTGCGTGGAGAAGGGAAAGGGAGCCATAGGAAATGAGGAGAAAGAGTTATATTCCCCTTGTACCTTACTAAAATCATCTTATGAACTGATCCATGTGCAACTTCTGGCAACAGATTTGGGAACTGAAACCAGGCTGGAGGCAAGTCCACATGTCATCCACCCCTTGCTAGGGCTCAGCAGAGATCCTGGGTGGAACTGTGACCTACCCATTTCTGCCCACTCTTCCAGGACCCCTTCCTCTCTGCTCACAGTGCAGGCTTTTCCCTCAGGTAATAGCAAGCAGGTGCCACTGCTTCTGCTGCATTGAAACTTTTTGAAATGCACAACTAAGCTCCTTGTTCTTCGGTCAATCACCAGGATACAGAGTACACATTCTCAACTCTTTGGTAATGTGTTCCTCTATTCAAGTAGCAAAATAACAAGCATTTATCTCTAATCAACATTGATTTAGGAGTTATGTTTAAGAGGATGGCATTTATGTTTGGTGCTAATGTATGTGTATAAAATGAACAAAACCTCAAATATCGCCACAAAGACCTGTGTGATACCATTTTTATATACTGAGATGCAATCTGCTCAGGTGGCATAACAATCCGTTACCTGGTGATATAAGGGATACCTAATGACAACCAAGAGACTGGTACCCACCAGTCTAAAACTGAGAAACATGATTAGAGTGATGGTGATCACCTGGACCTAAAAATTCTACTTAATCATCTTGGTAAGCTAATAGTTTTACTCCTTGGGGAAAATGTGCTGACTATAGCCCCTAGGCCTATTGGGAAATTGAGCAGATTTCCTGTTAACTTTCTTTCCTAAACAGCAGGAAATGGGTAAGATGCTATGCTCCTTGTTTACTAGCTCACTGTGAGATGCTATGCCCAACATCTGTTGCTTTTTTTTCTCTTTGCCAATTCAAATTTTCCGAATATTCACAGTTAATTGTCACCTCCTCCAGGTAGCTCCCAGTTACAATCATTTACTGTTCCTTGCCGACTCAAAACACAAAAAGTCTATTGGACTCACCTCACTCATCTATCTCTGCACAAGATGGCTAGCTCATGGAGGGCAAAGAACACTTTCAGCTCATCTTTTTCCATACTTCTACTACCTTCCAGTGTCCTGCATGTAGCATGTGCTTCAGAGTTACGAAAATGTACAATTCCCCCCCACTCAGTATTGGGTATTGAACCCAGAGGCACTCTACCACTGAACTATATATCCCCAGACATTATTTATATTTTGAGACAGAATCTCACCAAGTTGCCAAGGTTAGCCTCAAACTTGCAATTCTGCCTCAGTCTCCCAAGTCACTGGGATTACAGAGATGGGCCACCACACCCAGTGGGGGATTGCAAAGTGTTGCAAACCCCATTACTATGTTCACACTATCTTTATGGGAAACTGAYGCCACAGGCAGACAGGCTGCTGAGCCCAACCAAATGTTTGATCCAGCAGGAATGAAGAACTTTAGAGAAACCCCTGAAGATTCCAGAGGGCCAATGTAAATTCAGTTTCAATGACAGTGGTCCCTGTTTCAGCCTCTTTTGGGCTTGCTCCCCTTCACCTGTCATGGAGCTCTTATGCCTATCTGACCTGAGGGCACATGCATTTGGAAGTACTTTCCCTCCTGTCTATTGGACTCCCAGATGTCTGAGGACTTCAATGCCCAGACTCAGTAATGCTTTTGGTTTGGTCCAATAGAGGCTCTTGCAGCAGCTGCAGCTTTGGCCTAACCCTCTGAACTAGAAGCCGGGCCTCAACAATTTCTTGATTAACTCAACTTGTGGTTTAACTTTCTTCTGCTCACCTTCTTAGGCTACAAGACCTGCTCTCTTGATCCATTGCCTTCCTATTTCCTTTGTAGACAATACTTGAAAAATGTGTGTGAAATCTCTGGTAGGTTTTTCAATAAAGAGTTGTGCCTCCAGGCTTTAGTGAACATCTGCTCAGCAGAACTTTCAGACTTGTCATTTTGTCTATAGCAGGATTACTCAGAGATGGGTCACTTTCATTATTCTGAATTTAAAAAAAGAACAAGGCAGGAATCATGGCAAAACCAAGAAGTCTTAGCAAAAGAAAAAAAAAAATTCAGAGGCATTTGTATTCCCAAGGGAAAGAYGTTGTCCAGATTCTAAATTTAAAAATGTCTACCGTACCATTACTAAAATACTTTAATTCAGAGTCATAAAAAAAAAAGTACTCTCTCTTTGCTCTGAAGACTTCGTAAAGGAACTGACACCATTTTCAGAGTTTTCCAAAAATTTTTAAGTACATTGGTATATGAGTCCTTGTATACTATCAAATAGTATACAAAAAACAGATGAAGATGACCCATGTTTAAAACACAGAAGAAACAGAGCCAGACTGTTAAGGAAGGAGAAATGTTGAACATTAAGGAGCTAAAGTCTCCCATCTGTTTAAAGTTCTAATTTTGTAATTAAAAAAAAAATTCACTTAACTGCTGTTTGTGAATTAAAATAGTGAAGCCCAAATAAAATACAACTGTGTTCTCAATAATTCCCACCAACTACTTTTTTTGGGATTAAAAAGAATAATAATAATCAACTAATGGCTATAATTTAAAAATGTTCATAAATGAAGAAAAAGCTCAGCTACTAAACAGGAAGATTATATAGTACAACCCCTAAGAAATACATGATATGCTTAAGAACACAAAAATAAACCTTGACTCAACTACAGCTGCCATATTTAGAAAACCTATAATGTCATTTCATGACCAAAATGAAGGATTCAGTAAGGAATAAACTAAGAAAACCCTGAACTTGTCTTTGTGTTATAAAAGGATAATCAACAATAATCACAATTTACATCGTTTGAATCCAAGTTCCTTTCCACTTTCCCACTATGGAAATTCCTAGCTCAGTGGGACAGCTGTGTAGCCATTCATCATAAGCCTTTCATTAGTGAGCCATGTCCTCTGTATCTTGCCATGGCCCAATCTAGACCTCTGGCAGAGGAAGACACTGCTCAAGCCAGATCTCACTCCCAACAAGCACTGTCCCCTGTGCAGAGATTCTCAACCCACACTTCATGCCAGAACTATTTCAGTTCCTAAAACTCACAGAGGCCTGGCCCTCACTCTAACTTCTGGAAAGCAAAACCCTCAGAGGGATGCAGGCATGTGTATTTTTTTTTTTTTAATATAAAAGTTCCAGAAGGAACTACTGGTTTAGAAACTCTTGATATTAACACAAAAATGTTCAGAAAAAGAAAACAAAAACAAAAACAAAAAACAGAAAAGCAGCAGCCAAAAATCAACCCTCATATGAATGAAGCAGAATTATAGTTTTATTCAGTGTTGAAACCAAAACGTCAATAAATAAGAAGTAAAAAGAATAGCAAACAGCAATAGCTTACACAGTGTTTATTTTACACTGGAACAAAGAGCTTCTATACAATAGAAAGCACAGTATGTGCCTGGCCCTAAGGCAGGTGCTAAGAGAAAGAACCAGGWCAGCTGGAGAACAGATAAGTGCAGAGCTGAGAGGTGGGATATCCAGCTTGATGAAGGAGTCTTGGGAGAAGTGAAGCAAAGAAATTTATCTGCATGAAGAAAAAAGGTGGGAGAAAGAGAAAAAAAAAGTGGCATAATGGAAAAAAGGAAGACAAAACTTACAGAGGAGAGCAGCACTTGAATCACAGGCAAGAGGCAGACATGCTTGCAAAACCCACTGCCAGCTGAACCCTGTGGGAGTCTGTACTGGCCCTAGTCTATACTAGGGGCTATCTCGGGTCAACTTTTGGGGAAAACCCATGAACAGAATTTAAATCCTATTGTCAGGACTTTTCTTCATATTTAACACTTAAAGTTTGTCCCACAGAATCACATTTTAGCACTAGAGAGGACCCCAGAGAAAAATGATCTGCCTCATCCCCTCATTTGCAAATGAGGGAGGAGGTTTTCTTTCTAGTTTCCATGGTGACAGCCACTTTATAAGGGTGTGCCCCTGCCCCCCAACCCCACCCCAGTGTGGAGATTCTATACCTCTAAGGCAGCAGGCACATGCCACACTCCTAAAGTTACTGCTTTTCTGCATGGGTAAAGAAATGACAGGTGGGCCTAGAGAGCAACTTGTCCAGCTTTACTGGAATCTAGTGTGATTAGAATGAAAAGCCCTCTGTGAAACATTCCAGGTTAGAATTTAAAGAGGCAGATAAGTTTAATGTTTAAGTTTGGTTAGTGATATGCAAATCAGTTGTGTATGCTTATGGTTCTCCTGAGAACAAGCTACCTACTCCAACTCTTTATAGCCTCTCAAGAGTAAAATCTGGGCCATTAACCCCCAAATTCATAATGTGTAAGCTGTGTTTTAGTTACCACCTCCCCCCTTTTAGGTCACAGCTTGTAGCAAATGTTTACTGTGGGCATTTTAATTCCTTTTCACATAAACATAGAAATTAAAGGTGTGGTCACACATTGAAGCAATCACATTGCTCTAGAACTTTCATAAGTGAGGAAGAGAAGATCATTTTCAGAATCACTCCTTAGGCTATACTGGGTCATTTCCTTTTCCTCAGATCCTCAATAATCTGATATTTTGGGGTTTTCTTAAATTTATATTTCTTTTATGAAAATGATCATATTGTACTTCATGGAAACTCAGGAAACAAAATTTGATATTTCTTGAAAAATCCCCGCACAATTACCTAGTTTTACTCAAATCTAGTTTAATTTCTTGAAAGGACAGTATTCAAGGTCATTCATATTCCAGTTCATCATTTGGTGGGGACAATCTAATTCAGTGTTTACCAAAGAAAAGGATTCTAAAAGGAGAATGGTTTCCACAAAATGAATCTTCTTGGCCTTTCTATTAGTACGATGGTTATACAAGATAGCAAACAGAAGAGTGCAAAGATGGAGGTCATGGAGCAGGAAGGGAGCGGTGGTGAGGCTATCACATAAGCATGAGGGCACAGGTGCGAGCAGGCGGATGCATGAGCATTTACATGGAAGTCATATCGTTGAGAGCGTGGTCCAGCTCCTCGCTGATGGCCTTGTACTTCAGTTTCTGAGCATACAGCTCGTCTAGGACCAGGAAGTGGAAGGCAGAGATGCAAGGACATGGAGAGTGATCAAGAGATGGAGGGTGAGCGAGGGTGGCGCAGGCGCCATCCCAACACAGCAGCAAGGAAAGGGCAATGCATGAAGGGGTTGGTGCCGCAGCAGGTGCCAACGCAGGAGGCGTGTGTTTTGTTTTTAAATAAATTGAAACAAAAACAAAGAGAACAAAACCCATTAGAAATTAAAATGAGAAAGACTCGATATGAAAATCATAAATACTGTAGGCATATCAGTAAACCATGCTAAATCCTAAACCAAACTACAGAAGGCTGTCTCTCCTGGTGGGAAATGGAACATCTTTCTTTTTATAGAGCTATATTTTAATTATACCAGAGTAGTCAGCCACCTGTCGCTATAAACAATGGAAAAAATATCCAAAGGCAGTGTTTTGGAAGAACAACTTTTGATTAAAGCCTATAATCCTTATCTAGCTCCACCTTCAAACCACTGACTTCCTGACCAAACTAGACCATGGGATATTGATTTTTTAGTGTCATTTAAACTACTCCTGTGGTCTTCCCTCCAGAGCTGCTTGTACCTTAGTCTAGGAGCCTTGAAAAGCAAAGAAAGCCACACTTTCAATTGTACACCAGCAGACTGTTTGCGACCATATGTCATTCTTTTTCTCCACTATGGATATTATTATCTGTACCAGCCTCTAGTCCCTTCTTCAACTCCTTCTGCCCACAATAAACATTTTTTTTCTTCACAAGCCTCAGAGTTCAACATTTAGGATTTCTGTGAGATAGAGTCAGTGTCACTCAAATAAAACCTACATGCCTTGGGGGAGAAATGCTTAAGCATAAATCTCAAARTATTATGCCCTATTGGTTCCTATCTTCCTTTTAGGATACAGATTATTGTACCAATGAATGACTGACAATACCCAAGCCCTTCCACTGAATTCATACTTGGGAGAAGATGGGTTGTGTCTAAAACCAATGCACATCATTCTGACAATTAGGAGGTATTACTAAAGAAATAAAATATTCCAGAGTCACTCTCATCTATAAGCATCTCACTCACGATGAAAATTAAACCCACTACCTTCTGAGGAGTGTAAAATGCTGGGGGGCATTTGCCATTTCAAAAAGAGACATTTGCTGCCTGGTGGTTAACCAGTCACCTGAAGAACTAAGGACTCAGGTCCAAGAGTTTAAGAGCCACAGATGAAAATCCCAGAGGAAGTTAGAAAAAAAGTGCAGGAGCAAAGAAGTTTATCCAGGTAGATGCACTTGGATTGGACAATTGTATGCCAGGTCAGTATTCAACCATGAGGATTAAATGAAAAACAATATTTAAGATCTTACCTTCTAAGTCATCAATGCTTTTCTCCAATTTAGTTACTGACCTCTCGGCAAACTCAGCCCGAGTCTCAGCCTGTAATGATTTAATTTATCTAAGTCAAAGTTTAAGAAGTTTCACAGTTCTAGTAGCCACAAATACAGGGAAAACTAGAGAATGGACATGAGGCATCTCATCCATGAAATGGATTTAAAACTAACTGTCAGTTTTAGTCACTACTGTGAGCAATGGGAACTAGCATAGTATGTTAATTCCAAGACTACCTCTGAATAACTCTGGCTTGAATCAGTAACTTTAAAAGCAAAAAATTCCTGACCAGCTTCATGGACATAAATATGATTAAAATCCAGTTGACTTCATCCAAAATTCTTATGTTATTATTACCTCCTTCAGCTTGTCAGAAAGGACCTTGATCTCTTCCTCATATTTGTCTTCCTTCTGAGAGTACTGTAATTAGAAAGAGCATTCCAGATGTCAGGCTGTGGCTGTTTTCATCCCTTCTAACAAAAAGAACTCGCCAGCTCAACCAACAGATGTTAAGGATCTCCGAGGCAGTAACAGAACCTCCAATATCAAATGGCATACTATAATACATTCTCTGCTTTCTAGCCTATTGTTTTACATGGGATAAGAACAAGAACAAGATAACTTATCCACCTGGCACTCTGTTTAAATTAAATTGATGACTCACATACTCAACATAAAATATTCTCTATGAAAAAAATTATAAAAATACCCCTRGTATCCAATAACCACTAGAAATCATCTAAAAAATTTGCCATTTATTAAAATGTCTACTGTGCTAGTGCTTTCATCAGCAGGGCCTCTTTTGAGCAGTTCTTAAAAGATGCCTTCCCCACACCATGCTCCTGGCCTACCTTCTCAGCCTGAGCCTCCAGTGACTTCAAGTTGTTGGTCACAGTTTTCAATTCYTCTTCAAGCTCGGCACATTTGCTAATGTTTTCGATCAGAGGCAGAAAGGGTGGGAGACAAGCCAAAGGAAGGAAGAGAGAAAAAGGAGAGGAATGGGAAAAAATGAAAACCAAGTCCTAGAGATGAAGGACTGCCTTAAAGTAGCCAAACTATCAGGTATGAAAATGCTCAATTTTACCATGGACATTGCCTCCCAACTTTGCAACAGTGGAAAGGCAGGATCACAAAATTGAGCAACTGAAGTGTGATAATTTGGCTTCTTATTTGGCTGCCTCTAAGAGCATTTATAAAGGGAAAAACAAAGGAGCATAAAGGACCAAGAGAAAGCACTTAAAGCAAGATATAAATAGCAGAGGGTGTAGTGAAGGTGCAGTCGTTACATCAAACCAACCAGTAGGCATTGGAAGCTGAAAGACGCCTGGGTTTCAGTTAAACCTAAAAACCACACATGAGCCATCAGTACCTTATCCTCTGCAGCCATTAATGCTTTCAAGGTCTGATCCATTATTCTTAATTGTTCTTCCAGCTGTCGAACTTGGCTGTTAGTGGACACAGGAAATGCACAAGGCCATTCACAAAATCAGTGTGCAGGTAAGGCATGCAGTGATACACGCATTCATACATAGACACCCCACACGAGTCCTCCGTGTTCCATATTCGTGGCTCATCCACAACAAATGAGCACAAAAGGAGCCCGGAGCTGAAATAGGTAAATGTGCAGCTGCCAGAAGGTCATGCTGTTTAGTCACTGCTCTGCAGCACCCCACACGCTCCTGGTGCTGGGCCCGCTTACCCTTCTGAGAGCTCAGCCCGCTCCTCTGCACGTTCCAGGTCACTTTCAATGATGACCAGCTTACGGGCTACCTGCAGCAGGACAAACACAGTACACACACACATTATGGGGCTTGTGTATTTTGTAGAAGGGTTGTTTGGGTGGGAATCAGGCTGCATCAGTCCCTACAGATTCCTGTCTACATACAGGATCCTCCCCATTTGGGGAGACTGAAGAGAAGCAACTTTCCCTCAGGAGTGCTGACAGACAGGAGGCCAGAGTCTTTGCTCACCAAGACCCAGAATGGACAGCTACAATTTTGCAATATCAATCTGAAGTCTGACCCAGGTGAAATCTACATAATTACATAGCAGCCAGACCAAAGTGTGGAATGAGAGAGAAATATGAAATCCAGTCTCAAAAAATAACATACTGCTATTAGTATGCAAACATACTGCTCATCATACTTCTCTTTAAGAAACCCATTTAATACTGAAAAAGTAGGGACTGCCAAGAAACCATGAAAATAAACCTAGGAATTCCACCAATACAGAGTTCTGTGCCACAGCCTCCTTTTTGTGGAGGCAATTTAAGAAGGCAAAAGAAATTAACATGAGATGAGGTGGTGAGATGACTAACAAGGTCAAATCTGTATTCAGTGGAAGAAAGAACCTGAGAGAAGGGATCCTCTGAAGCAATTCAAAATTAGCAAGCACAGTATAATCTGGAGAAAGGTCAGTGCTGTTTCAGGCAGTCATGATGTGATACAATGAGGAAAAAACTAAAATTTTGACAGTCATATTGACTCTGTTATCACAGGTCATTGTCACGGTAATATGACCAGGAGCTGATTCTCCTGAGAACCTGTGCTAACAGAGGATTTCCAAGACCTGGGAGGAGAGGCCTTCATGAATCTATTAAGTAGATGCTACTCAGTTGCCTGAACTGGACTACTAGGTGGATCACACTGAAAGAAATACTTGCATAAGGACAGCCTGAGCATCCTTTCCCAAGGGTTCACCTTTCCCATTTCCTGGCCAAAGACCTTTTATCCTGGTCATTAGGGAAGGGAGTTTTAATTCTTCTTCCCAGTGCCATTGACTAGCTTCCTGATAAAGGCTGGGATCCCCTAGCTGGATCAAAATAAAAACCATTTTCTGGARTCAAAGAAATTTGCTTCTTAAAACTACCCATTTCTACCAAGGAAGCAGACTGCTTCCCTCAGGAATCAAGGCTATGTATGCTCCCTGAACCCCAGAAGACCACTGCTAGGAATCAATGAGGCTTTGGGCGCTAGGATCTGACCTCTTCATATTTTCGGTCGGCATCTTCAGCAATGTGCTTGGCCTCTTTCAGTTGGATCTCCTGAATTTCCATTTTTTCTTCATCCTTTTGGGCTCTACTTTCAATGACTTTCATGCCTCTGGAAAGAAAGACAAGTACAAAACCCAAGATTTAGAGTTGACCTTCCTAGACTCATATTTCTTTGACCTTCCTAGAATCATACTGTCCTGCTGTGGTCTGAGAGGTTTAGATCAAAATAGAGCACAGAACTACTTTTTATTTTTTTTCCCCCAAAACCATGAAGCAAGACCTTCTAGTGCTAAAGGCAGAAAAAAAGACACATTTCTCTCTGCTCATTGTGCTTATACTTTGGGTACTGSAGAACCTGTCCAGGCACTTTATGTTAAGTCAAAGGAACAATATTAGGGTCCCATTTGAATCTGGAAGGCATGGAAACAAGAAAAGCCAAGATGCTTTATTTGTTAAATAAATAAGGAATTTCTTTCCTTTCCTGAGGGAAGTCTGTTTGAAAATGAAYAAAAGCTACAATCAAAGCAAATTTATTTTTGTGTACCTCTTTCTATAAAAAAAGGGTCTTATCCCATCAACCACAAACAAAAACAGTAGACTAGCCCATAAGAAACTGCTGATGTTTGAGCATTTTGGACCTATAAAAGTAGCAGTTTTAGTAGAGTCAACTGAATTCTTTAGATAAGAAACCAAGTTTTACTTCTAATGGAACCCTCTCTAAATAGGGAGGTTGGGAGGGATTGATATTGGCTTCTATATCGATGTGTATATTAGGGTCCTATGGCATGGTGTTACATTTCAGAAAATGTTAACTGATCTATGATATATTAAAGATTTATGAAATAAGAAGTCATGTTAAAATGGGACTCATTTACAAAATTTAAGTAGGCAATAAATAAACCACTATTTTTTGATCTAGTACTAGAATATACTTGAGGAGACCCAAGGTCCAGCTTTGGCTTAGACGCAAATATGCTATCAGCCTTTGGGCAGTGACAGTCTCTGAGTCTTAGTTTTCTTATTTTTCCTCCAGAGGATTGGAGTAGATGATCTCTAAGTTCCTTTTACGCCACGGTCTAACATTATCAGACCATATTTACAGTTCACTAACAGGTATATTTCAGGAGGAAGTTAGCTACAACATCACTGTTATATATACACTGTAAGAGATAATCAGTCATCATGAAGAATTTCAAAACTCTTGGCCAGTGAAGAAACACTAAGTAGTAGTGAATAATGAGGTGACAACTGAAGCTAAAAACCTTCTTGAACCCTGAAGTCTGAAATCACTTTTATATGTGGTAGCAGAGAGCAGAGGCTTGCTGTAAAGATGCAGAAATGGACAAATGACTGACTACATTCTCCTGCCCAGGTTACAACACAGGCAGTCACACTTGTAGTGTTCTAACACATCATCCCTCAAGCAGAACTCTCTTACCTCATTGAGTCTTTCCTGAAGTTCTTCTTTGCAATGTGGCAAATACATTAACTTGGACAGTTGAGCACAGAAGAAAAAACCTTCTGGGATGCATGAGGTTAGTTGTGCTGCTGTATATGAACCATGGTTTCCCTTTCCTACCACAGGTGGCATCTTACAGTAATAAGCCAGGTAGAGTCATGTTACAATAGAGGTGGGCTCAGAGCACACAAGTACCTGACTTATTTGTATGTTTGGCAGTGTCTTGTCCGCAATTAATCCTAGTCCAAAACAATTTACTTCTGCAGATCACATTTCTGTTTTATCTGGGCTTTTTTCTTCCACCTATTTGACAACTAAGAGCCCACAGTTTCTGACCCAGGCCCAAGACTCCTTGGTGAATTTTAAAATAAAGTAGTTATTATTATTTTTTTTAAATGCACAATTGCTCTGTGGTCAGTTGGAATTAAAGAACCACTGCATATCCCTGGAACTTTTCATTTCCAAGTCTGTCTCCCTTGTTGGGTGGTGCTCTGTGAGGACCAGAACAGTATCTGTTTCTTCTCTATAACTCTAGAGCTTAGAATAGTGCTTTGCACACATTCAGTATTCCATTTATTTTATTATTATTATTGTTTTTGGTGGTGCTGGGAATTGAACCCAGGGCCTTCTGCATGCTGGACAAGACCTCTACCATTGAGCTCCAGCTCTAGCCCTTTTCTACTTATTTTAAAGAAACAAAATCAAACTACACATGTGATCAACTRAAGAGATGACTCCATTGAGGGCTGTAAAACTGTTAAACCTCAAAGATCAGAGGAGCTTCCTGTTCATCCTGCCAGGAGRAAAGGCTTGTGCTAAAATGGCTGGATGAGACGTTCTCACCTCTCGCTTTCATCTGCTGCTTTTTCAGCCTCCTCCAGCTTCTGCAAAGCTGTTGCCAGACGCTCCTGAGCACGATCCAACTCTTCCTCAACCAGCTGGATGCGTCTGTTCAGAGAAGCTACATCAGCTTCAGCCTAGGCAGAGAGAGTGGAAGGCCTTTCAGAGCTGGAGAGAAAGTGAAGGTGGCACTTACAAAAAGTGGCTGATTTTAGACAGGACGTGTGGTCCTRGTGGTCAGTTAAAAGTGCATTACAAGCCCTCATCAACTTTGGAGTTCTCAGAAATGTACATATGTTGAATTACAAAGTGAGCATCCATATTTACACACAATTTTTATCAAATAAATGTACCATTAGCAAAGATTCACATAAGYCCATTTCTCACCCTAGTATTACTTGTCCATTGAAGGAGAGTTTTATCACAGCCACCTCATTCACTAGGGGCCTGAGGTGTAGATAAAGACAACAAGACTTACCCAGAGATTCAGCCACTTAAGACAACAGCAGTACCACAGAAATTGGAACCAGCAGTTTCATTAAATTCTCTTTTTTTCTGAAACCACTTTCTCAAAGAAGCCTTACAAAGGAACTAAATACTCAAAAATCCAGTAGTTTAAAAATACATACCACATGGAGACCTAACACAATTTTAGAAAGCTTCCTCCTCTCACCCCCGCCTTTTCAGGAACTCCCTCAAAATAAGTGGTCACACCAGAAAGAGGCCAAGACAAATCTCCCAAGAGTTTTTGTCCTAAGCCTACTGGATATTCTTACAAGTCAAGATTGCTACAAGAAAAGTTTCAAACTCTTATGGAGAAAAGGAATACAGATAATGTTTTTACTTGGAATCTATGCTTCTTTTTGGGTACTGGGGATTGAACTCTGGGGCACTCGACCACTGAGCCACATCCCCAGCCCTATTTTGTATTTTATTTAGAGACCAGGTCTCACTGAGTTGCTTAGCTTCTCACTTATTTACTGAGGCTGGCTTTGAACTCTTGATCCTCCAGCCTCAGCCTCCAGAGCCGCTGGGATTATAGGCATGTGCCACCTGCCCAGCTGAAATCTATATTTTAAATAAAAATTTCCTTCCCGGATACAGATACTACCTCCTGTCATACACATTTGTTACTATATTTGAGAACACTAGAAATGTTGTAAAGGTGGCCATTCAAATTTTTACTGCGTGGAAGTGAAGATGGAACTTACTAATTAGGTACTATTTATTCATCTTTATCCACTTTGAATGTACATCTATCAAGGGGTGATGGGTTTTCAGGACATGTAGATTTCTAAATATTATAATATACACCTCAGGACCCACAGTAGTTCTTTATATACATCTCTGTCTTTACTGAACTATAAGCTACTCATATTTTATATATATATATGTGTGTATATATATATATATATATATATATATACATGTGCATGCGCACACACACATATATATGTAAATATGCAATTCTCTGCAGAGTATAGACTCAACAAATGTCTATTCAATAAAATACGTAAAACCATTCTAATTTAAACAATAGCAATTTTCTTAGCTCATGGCCCCATGACAGAGTTTGAAATGCATACGTAGTTAGAGAGAGGTTGTGGTCATGGCCTTGAGTCAAAGGAATATGAAAGAACATTCAGCTTTTTGCTCATTTGGATTTGTAAGATTTTAAATGCCAAGTTTTATCTGGGGAAGAGAGGTGAAAAGGGCACTTCCAACCATAAACACATTTAAATATACTTTTATCTCAACAAAAAACTATATGGTAATTGACAGATGGAGGCAGGGAGCAGAGCAAATGTGAAATGAATCCTAAAAGGAACATTTACAACTGAACTGGCTCATAAAGTCAATCCTTATCAGTGTTCAGCTAGCAACTAGGTACAACCAGGAATGGCTGGCAGGTAACCCTTGATTTCTGCTTGTTTTTGAAGGGTGAGGGCAATAAGGTAGGGAATTTTCAAAGTACAGGGAACTGCCTTTTAAAGTCATAGTCCCCCCCCTTTTTTTTTTAATTATAAGAATGTATATACATTAAAGGTGCAATTTTGGGCCAAGTTAAATTTCTTCACTGTTTTATATTTTCCTTTTCCAGTAAAATTCTATTCCTTTTATGACTAGAGATGGGGAACAGGGACAAGCAGTCAATCCTGAATGTTGAAATAATAAGGGTAAATATCCCCATTACAGATGCTATGGCTTATCAGATAAATGGCAACAAGATTTTCAAAAACATTTTTGTAGACACCAAAGTCTGAGTTTCCTGATCTGCTTTAGATCTGGGTCCAAACCTTGAGAACTTGGTGCTCACAAAAAGGTGACTGTTTATTCTTTGGGGAAAGAACCTTCTGGGTGACAACTGGGTCTATGGCCCCAGCTCCTCACACAGTTGAAGCCCCAGAGAGGAAGGAGMGGGCACCCTGAGTTCATCCTTGCCTCTGGTATGCAAGACTACCCCACATGAAAGGCTCACCTCAATCAATTCTACTTCCTACTGCCCCCACCAGCTTTATCTTTTCTTTTCCTTAGCCCTTGACTCWGTTTAGAAGAATATTATTTTGAAAATATCACTTACACTTCTGTCCCAGGAGCATTTTGTAGAACCTGATTCTCTGATAGTAGGGTATGTCCTCCAAAACTAGTCTTCAGGGACTTACATAGTGTGTCCACACAATGGCAGGGAATGGAGACCTGTCTGTAGAAGCCAGTTTGACACAAAGATGGGACTGGTGCACACACAGAGAACCTACCTATGGACAGCTGGCTCTTCCTGAGAAACTGATATAAGTAAACAAAATGGGGGTCTCATTTTTTTCTTTAGCTGGAAGAATCCATGAACATCATCTAGCTCCCACAACTGGCTAGGTGCCAGAATCAACTAGAATATGTGTATTAAAAATATAAACTTCCAGAGAGTTTCCCATCCCTTCCCCATCCCTAGAGATTCTGATTTAGGAGATCAGAGGGGCAGGGCAGGAATTTGCACTGTAAATAGGCAATCCCCTCCACTCCTCCAGCACCACCCCAAGAAGCTGTCAAATTCAGTGGATCAAATAGGACTATTCATCTACCTCTCAGCTTAAAAGAAGAGAGGGACCTCTGACCCAGAGTGCTGAAGCAAGCTCCTATATAGCCCTCAGTGGAAGACAGGACTAAACTCTCTATAATACTGATCCAGCAAATTTTGTACAGTTCCTTGGAATTCAGGAAAAGTTTAATTTCATAATTTAATCAAGRTACTTTCTTTCTTTTTACTTTTCCTCCCCTTATTTACTATGCTCTGTGTTCAAAGGCTTATTCTCTCATTTCTGGTATTTTTTTCCCCCTGAATTTTGAGTCTCCTCTAGATATTTTCTCAGGTTCTTTTTATCATAGCCTGGGTAGTTTTAAGGATCTGCTGCTACCTGTTAATAYTAGTTCACAGACACGACCATTTGCTATTTAAAAGCAGTCAAATAACAAGGCACTCGGGAGGGTCAAAACCCTAGATACAATTTTTTCCCCCAAGGCATGTAAGTTACCCTTAGAGTACTGAGTTAGCTTTCTTCCAACAAGGGCCTATGTGTCCACACTGCRAGTGAAGACTTTCAGTTTGGGTTGCTAGTTTCTTTTATTTCAAAAGTGCTATTGTGTCCCAACATGTGATAAACTTCTCAGAAACAGACTGCTGCATTAGTAAGGCTACCAATGTCTTCTTGCAGATCTATTGTTAAACTACCACCTACCACTCTGAACTTGTGAGGTCCTTAGGGTTGCACATGCCCCTCACCCCAGCAGGTACTAACTACCTATACAGAAGTCAAGCGCCTGCTCACTATTCCCACTCTTCTGTGTCCACCTACACAGAAAACAAAGGCACACATACTGTTATCCCACCTCAACAAAGTACAGAAATCAGTGCATGCCCACCCAATATAGCAAAATATTTTTCCAAATAGGATTTGAAAAAAATCAAAAAATAAAATATCTTTATAAGGCTTGGGATTTTGAAGAGATCCAGAGGTTTTAGCCAATACAAAACCAACAATTTAAAATTGCAATGATTTTTACTTTAAAAACAATGTCCCAGTTAGGGCTAGTCACAAGAAATAGAGGTAGGAGAATAATATTGTATCCTTAAAATCAATCCTCTGGAATATATTTTCAAAGTCCTGCCTGAACCAGAGTGGATCATGGGATGACCAAAGTTCATATCTTTTTATTCATGTCAACTGTAGTTATACAGAGGTTTCTCCCAACTTGCTGTGTAAGATCAAGTGACTATAGCCAAGTTAAACTTCTGCCCTTATATGGTAAGGAAAAGGGGGAGGGAGACCCAAAACACTGATGACATTAGTGGCCACTCCCATGGATAGCAGATAAACACAACCTCGTCTATTTGTGCCAAAGCCTATAATTTATGAGGCATATTTGTATAATGAGAGAAAACAGACTTGAACAAGGCATTGTGGTGCCTCTGCTGTGCTACAGAGAGTGGAAATGGAGGGTACTGTATACATTCCAATTACAGCCACTCTGGGAGTGCCAATGCAAGCACAAAAAGCACTCTCAGTTTCCTGGTCCCAGAACTATTTACCAACTCTTCAGAGGGAAAGGGCTGGGCATTTTTGAAAACTGGTTATTTCCCATGACTTAATAAAGTTACCAACTAAGAACTTGCTGCAACTATAAGCCTCCTCATTTGCTGGGTACTATCCAGAAAGGAGGAAAATCTCTTTCTTGTTATCTTTTTTTAAAAAATAATAACAACAAACAAAACCCTTGTAGATCACAAGACCTACAGTCAACCATTACATCAAGCAAAGTAGCCTCATTCCAACATTTTGAAGGGCCCACACACCTTGGAAAAACAAACTAGGAGGAAATAAGGGATGGCTGCTTTTTCCAAGGTAAGTGTTGGTTTAGTAGGGTCAATTAATGAGAGCCTGTCAGAACCTCTGAGTATCTGAACTTCAGCCAACTCTCCAGTCAAATATTTTTTGCAGTGGTTCATGATTTTGTCGCTAAACCTTTATCTTTGCTGCCAAGAGAAACTCTTGCTGCTAGCTTGATTCATGGMTACCTAAATTAGCTACACTGAAGTTCTAGTTTTAGAAGTTAGGAACAACTCTCAATCAGAAATTCTCCAACT